ACACAGATCGGACGGACTCTAGTGGCCAAGCACAGCACCGTGCAAGCTCCGTGCCTCCTCCTTATTCACCAATCCACTTCTTATACAACCCGAGCCGAACACACTACCAAGTGAACGCAATTACTTCAGCGTCACCATCTTCCTCTCATTATGGTGTGCCCTCCCTCCGAAGTATCGTGGGCCCCAATCGTCAGACATCCCCCATCACCAGACAAAGCACGCCACAGGGAGAGTTTGATTGCCCCGACTTTAACGCCGAGCAGTCAAGACAAAATGGGGTCTCCAACTCGAGCGCTTCCACCTGCGGAATCAACTCTCAACAACCTCACTACGACTCACACAGAAGTCAGGAGGTGGAATCCCAAGAGTACAGCGCCAACGCCCAAAGAGCTAGTATAGCGGAGTCATCTTATTCGTACACACAACATATACCCAGCACATCGGGAGGGACACAGACACAGGTACAAAGAAATGCTCATACAACGGCTGGCATTCAATCTCGGCAAGCGCCAAGCACAGGACAATCGACGCACTCCGTCAGACAGGGTAGCAATACTGGCTCAAGACAGCAGAGAAACTCTTTGACAGATTCTGTTCCATCCCAAACCGATTCAGCTCCCAGCAGACAATCGGGTTTGACAGCTCTACAAAAAACGCTTTCGCAGGTGCATTCAGTGAGTAATGTGAGAACTAATCCTGGTGTAGGCTCAGAGGGTTCTACCAGCATCGCAACTGCACACAGTTATAATCTCATTCCGGGTGCAGAAACACAGCACACTAGAGCCCAGAACAATCACGTGACGCTAAATAGAAACCCTGCAACTTCCCGAAATGTCTCCACAAACGTAACCTCTGCTCATCAAAAAAGTTTGTCTGTGGCTGACAGACTGTCCAGTGGCGAGGGACAGGGGCAGTCACGTCGTCCAGGGGTCAGTGGCCAAGGAAACAGCAGCAGCAGCAACAACAACAACATGTCGTCAAACAGGCCAGGCCGCCCAGCACAAGCATCTGCATCCACATCGATCCACAATGGCCGAACGACTGCTAAATCACAGCATGAGCAGGATGATAAAGGGACCAATGCCAGGTAGCAGTCCTGTTATGTTACCCCCCCCCGGCACCCTCTTTTAGTAAGGTCTACATCAGCGTTTAGAAGCCACGATTCTGATGTTCCTGGTTAAGTGCGCTGTACACCAACAGGCGAGTGGTGATGGGAATGTGGATTCCTGCTGTGTCGTCCACGAGCCGTTTAAGAGCAATGGTGTTAAACGTAACGGAAGTGTACATTGTAGGTTTGGCACTTACACGGGACAGTCGGTCAAACTGGCTGAAAAATTCACCCTTTTCCAAAGATACTCTGAATGTCTGTAAGGAAGATAAGTTGGAACATGCTGAGTCATGAGTCTTCCGTTTCATCAGGTCGTGTGCGGCAGTAAAAGAAAAATAGTGAAACGTGAAAAGAAGATATTATTTTCCTTCTAGGGTCTTTACATTCTGCAGCCTGAAGAAAGACAAATTATAGTGTTTGATTGTTTCTGAAGAAGGGGTGAGAGAAAACGTCCTAAGCCTTCAAATTCGCCTGTGCCTTGTATTACCTTTCCCATCACAATCCAGTGTGGCGCAGTTGGTTGTAAAAATGACAAACACGCAGACGTTCTAGGATCCGTTACGAAAGAAGATCTCACTTTTTTTTCATTATTCCTGATGTCTGTCCCAAATAGCGGATTGTCAGAGGAGCGCAGTTAACATCTTCAAAAGCTCTTAACTGCGTCCGGAAGTTAAACTTCAGCTCAAACACACAAAAAAAGTTTAATGTTCCTCTGTTTTCTAGGTCATGTTATGCTAAATTATCAAGAGTCAACACATAATTATCAACACTACTGACTGAACAGATATGGTGTACTGACTAAACTTTGACCTTTCACCTACAAGAAAAGTAGCATACCATTGCTATTCTTGACATTGAATTGTCCTTCCTTTTCTTCACATCAAAATGGCAATCCTTTCTGCGATAAGATTAAGATCATCCCCTGTCCATGACACATTACTAGAAATCTGCGAATCTTCACTCTTATGATTTTTAAAAAATCAAGACATTTACTCTGTATTATTTAAACTCACGAGATGAATAGCCGGTGTCTTCAGTATTATGTACATAAATTCTTTTATCTTCGTCCATGATCATTATATTCATTGATGAAGTGAGGGTTTGCGGCACCCAGACTGCGACAAAGTAGTGAACAAAGTTTGAGGTCAGAGAAAGTGTAAACAAAATGTGGGTTTAACGGCAAAATGAACGGTTTGAGGTTACCAAAAAATACTAGTCTACACATATTATAAATTATAGGCCTACTGAGTTGATAGGGGCGTTAAACCTTAAGCCATTTCACCATTTTCATATATTTTGTTCCATGCAAGTTGTTGATTGAACTACAAGTAACTTCTTTTAAACATGTCTTAATTTCGTTCCTTTTTTTCTGTAGATCGGTACATGTAGGAATACAAGGGTGTCCACAAGTCTCGTGTGTCCCAGATAACTAGACTTAAAACAAATACATGTACTTATAGTACGCCGATCCATGCAATTTAATTTTCTAATCATTTACACTTGACCAATAAATTTACATCTATAGCGAAAGTACTCACCCACATTTGGTAAATTGACTGACTGATAGTTCATATTATTATTATGAAAGTGCATGTATTTTTAAAACTTGTATTTAGTATTAATATACTTGTTACGGCATACACCCTAAATTCTATTCAACAAAACACTATGGATTCAATGTTTCGTCACTTTCATCGCTACTTTACTTCTTTACACACTGACATCTTATAAAACTGAACCCTTGGGTTTTGGGGACCTGGCGGTGTGTCGGGGGGTAACAGTAACATTCACGGTGAAACAAAAGCAAAATATGCCACATGCAACACAGATGCCAAAAATGAATCGTTTGAAATCGCCTCAGCATCAAGAATTCTATAATATAAAACATGTATGTATAAAACACGAAGATGCCGACCACAAAAATAGATTCCCATAAAAGTGCCCTTTGCCTGCTGTTTCGGGTACGTAATTATTCCCACATTTTAATACCAAAAATTTTAGTTTTAGTGGGTGATTTTGCTTTGATCCTGGGATAAAAATTCGAACCTACTTATGAAATGTGATCATTGATAGCGATGACTTTGTAAATGAATGTATTTTTTTGTAAACGGGCCTCCTGCCATAGTGCATGGACATTCTTTATGTGTTCGCTTCCTCAAATTTACTAAGTTCTATCAGACATTGTTGGCCGTTTTGAGTTATTAAGACCATGCGGTCAGAAATCAAATGTTCTATCTGCTATATCAAAATCGTAAGATTTTTCAGAGTCACTATCAAGATACCGTATTCAAAGAATTTTATTCGAAAAAGGATTTGAAACTCAAAATTGTTGATGCCAAATTTCTCCAAACCAGGTAGGTCTAGCTCTACTACTGTGCAGACAGAACGTTGAAATTCTGAGGTAGCGTGTTGTCTCTGAGCCCCATGAGCACTGAGGCCGCATGCTAATCTGTTCACTTGTATTGTACGTTGTGAGGAGCCGTCAATTTATATAGGGCCTACTGCTGTAGTACTATACAGTATTGACCAAACCATCGATAGACAAGAAGGGTGTAGGGTTTATAATGCTGTTAAAAATACCCTGCAACTAACTGTAAGCAAACTACCCTCCCCCCCCCCCCAATTTTACGAAATAACACTCGAGGACGATATACGAATACGTGTAATCTGTCATGGCTTTTATCTCTTTTTTGGGGGGAGGGGGGGGGAGGATTTAGTTCTAGGATTACACACCCACATAATGGTGTGCATTCTCCAGTTACCATCCTCAAAATAGCAGTATTTTGGAGAAACTGTTTAGGCGAAAAGTACATTGTACTTGTCTTCGCAGCTGCAAGTGTACTACATTTGTAGAATATGCTACATGCTCCAAGGTTTCATGGAAATTATACATGCAGTACATGTGTAATATAATATATTATTTATGCAAAGTGCGTTGATTCTTCATTCTCCATTCACCATTGCTACCCACCGTGTCTTTCGGTCTTTCTCTGTTGACTTCATTTATTTATATCAATCTACATGTAGGTTCTAAATTATATTTTTAATAGCTGAAAAGCTATATCATGCCCAGATGTAGAGGAGCAGGTCTGCCATTGAACTTGAACAAAGTTAAGTCTGCATGAGATAAACTACTATAAACAGGGTTCTCGTTTTTATCATATGTTGCATGACTTGTACAAAATAAAAATCATGTTTAAGAATGTGTTGGAGTCAGAGCTGATGACTAAGCGTTAATTCCTTTACTGCTTTACAATGTATGCATGGGTGAGGGGTAGAAACTTAATTTGTAGTCTAGATCTACTGCTGTGCTGCAGGAAAAAAAAGAAACAAGCGTACTAGCAGAGAGTTTACAGTAATACTATTACTGTAAACCCTCTCTGGTACTAGTACTAATATGATTTAAGGGTTAGGTTTCTTCGTCTTGCACACATAAGACACCTGTACAATTCCCATGTGGGTAGGATGTTTCATCCAATGTATCCATCTTTCTGCTGGAATGCGTCTTCTCACATAGCTTTCCCCGTGGTTATATGCACCCCGCATAATTTAGCAAAATTTGATCATTTTTTGCATAATTTCTGATTATTTTCCTTCATCATTCTTTGTTAAAATTGACAGAATCGCATAATTTCACATTTTTTGGGCTCAGTTTGCATAATTTCAGAATTTTTCTTGCATAAAACGACAGGGACAGACATAGCCAGGGTAGGCCCTGATAGCTCGCCAGTAAAGGTCTAGTTGAGGTCTCCAGAAGGAACTTACTTGACCTCCTACTCACATCCAGAATCTCTCTCTGTGAGGCCAACATGGGGATAGTTATAGTCATGATGTCATGCCCAAAAGCTGATTCTTAAATCTTTTTTCAGAAAGGAGACCTTAGCGGACCTTCACCAGCTTGCATGTTTTTGGTACATATTTTTTGTTGTTTTATTTTAATGTAGATGCTTTTCACATCCCAATCAACACAGTTTAGATCGGCTCACACCGTGAATTGGCCCAAACTGCAAAAGAAGATTAGCTCACACCGTGAATTGGCCCAAACTGCAAAAGAAGAAAAGCAGTCATGGCATGCACATGCAGGTAGCCTTTGTTTGCCCAAGTCATGCATTGTTTATTCTTGTATGTTGCTTTTCATACTCACTGCTTACAGTCTTTCTATTGACCACAGTCAATCAGATAACCCACCACAATGTACAAGAATTTGTCTTGTGATGTCACATTGAAAAGTCAATAACTTAACATCATCATCCACGATTGTCAATAAATCTACCCTTCACCCCCCGGTATTTCCGGTATTTTGATCCTGATCCGCTATTCGGTTATTGAGATCTAGATAGAATCTATAATTGGCCCCCCCCCCAAAAAAAAAAACCAACCACACACAAAAAACTCATCATTTTTTAAAATCAATCAATCAATTTAAAAAATTAATAAAAGAAAAAGAAAAAAGAAAGAAAACAGGAACAACCCCGAAACCCATTACGCTGACTGCTCGGTAAATGTGACCAACTGATATATAAGTAAAGCAAACACCCATTTGTCTTGACACATCACGGCGACCACAGCCTGCTGTGTCCTGTTCCTGTACAACTTAGGTCCTATACAACTGTGACCCCTACCGTGACCTTATATGTTGCACCCTAAATCAAACACCTAGGGTGGTGTGTACGTGGGAGTAGGCCCTATAAAAATAATCTTCATTATTAAATTATTATTATGTACAAATAATCTTATAGTCAAATATTTTTGAATAGTGATAAAAGTTTATTGAAAAAGTACTCACAAAATGAGGAACAATACAAGTATTTCAAACAGTTACTTAACTTTTCACATATATGTGTGTGCCGGGAGAGAGGTCCCAGTTGTCAGAAATTTTTGGATACTGAAATAAGGGTATATTCTTGTAGCAAATTCAATGCTGAACAGACTGACTTTAAAAAATTGTCAAACATCTTGAGTACTTTCCAAGATATGCCCACATTTTTTAACACAGGGTGCAATAACAAAGTTTAGAGAAAACCCATTTTCCAGCACATTTTCAACTTTTGGTGAAATAGAATCTACATGTTGCAAAAATAATTAATTAAAAAATATTTAGGCTTAAAATATAAAATCCTTTCAACAAATGTTATTAATTAAGAAATGCTTAAACGTTTGCTTTCAGATGGAACTAAATTTTTGACCAGTTTAAACCTTTTGGACTTTTCACCCTGTTGCTTAAAAATAGCTTCACTAACAACTGGGACCTTTCTCCAGGCACACACACACATTTATATGAAAATAAATGAGAACTGCGAACAACAAAATAGATTAAAATCTTGCATCTTGAAAGCTTAACATAGAACACAAGGAGAGGCAGTTGGTTGGAATCTTCAGGGCAATAGAAACACTAGAAACAAAAATTTTCTATAATCATAAAGACTCACTTAATGATGAAATTATGAACGAATAAAAACATTCTTAAAAAAGTATGCTTACACAAATCAACATGTAAAAGGATCAGAATTCCACAAGCAGACACTTTCTGCGTCAGCCCTTGCTGTTTGTCAAGATGGTTGACACATTAAATTTTTGCTCTGATAAAACATGCCTCGGGAAACTAAGCCAGCAACTCAACAAATAATTTTTTTTAATGTTAACAAATATCGAAATCCAGCCCAACATGGCACTGTAAAAGTCTCAATATCACTTAATTGATATCTTTTTTAACATATTCTTTATGTTAATTAAACCACATGGATAGTGGCAGGTAACAAGGAATAGATTTTTCCTTTATCTAGTGATAATGGTTCAAATCCCTAATGGAGCAATTTTGAACATGGCTGTTTACAGAACACCTGCAGTACTGTGTCCTGCCTGCTCAGCTACCTCTTATCCACGCCAAAAATGAATGACAAAAATTTACCATACCGTACAAGTACAATGTCAAGGCTCTTACGTGTAGTACGAAAAGACTCTACATTATGTGTATCATTCTCAGAGCAGTGACAGTGAAGTAAGATGTTACACTCTACGTAAACACACATCAAAAGAGGACGGCACCCACGTACACCACTGTGAAAGAAGAGGGATTAAGGGGGTGGGAGAGGAAGCTTATATCCTAACAGGTTTTGGTAAAAAAAAAAAAGAAAACAACCTGTAGCCCTGAGAGTAAACAGCTGATCTACTGTATATCAACAAGAGTTAGCAAAACTTCAAGAAACAACAAGAATTTGCTTCAAAAGGCTGTACTGTTACTTGCAACAGCGTGAAACTAATATTCAAGTAAAATCAAGGGACGAAAACAACCGAGGATATTAAACATGAACAAAGGTGTCGACTTGTGTCAGCACACTCCTCATGAGCCTTAATTCATTTAGACCATGGCAGCCACATGTGACCCAAAACTTCCACAATGGTGCTCACAGTACCGGTCATTTCTGGCCAGTAGAATTAAATCATATTCAAAACGGCCATAAGAAAATGATAGGGAGGTAACTTTGTATAAACAAAGTTAAACCATTTCCATACCTGTTACCTCATTTGGACCAATCAAAATGAAGTACTTTTATTGGATTCATGTTTATTTCGACAAGGACGAAAAAAAATCTCCTTGCTTCTACTTTAACTTGGGGCTTATACAATATGTAACAAATTTTTATACAGCATCCTAGGGGGCAAAGTAAAAATCAGAGTACACTGTCTGAGCAACATAAAAGCAAGTGCAAAAAAACCACATACGCTATCACATGTTACCGTTCTTTGCCAGAGTTCAATTCAAAGCTTTGTCTCTCTACAGATGTAGTCACCACAGAATCTATACAACAAATGTCCAGAGGGAAACAAAATAGTTTTAACATACAGTGGGACACTTGCATCCATTATATTTCATAAGCGATATAAGAAAAAGCCACAGGGAGAAGGCTTTCCAGTTTTACACTTCTTTCAAAAATAAATTATTTACACCTCTTTCAAAAATGAATTACCACTGTATTTCTAAAGCAGAACTTGTTCTTCAACATCCACGTCTGATAGTAAGCAAAATGAAAGATTACCCCAAGGGGGGTAGATAATTAGAACATGCAAGCAGATTCTCCACACAGGGCCAAAGAATGCCCATCTGAGGATTTAGAGGTGACTCCGTTAAAATTGTTTTTCTCTAATGGGAATCAAACTCATATCACTGGCCTACCGAGCAGAGAGCCTTATCATTATACTAAATTGCCGGCAAGTATTTCAAATGTACTAAGCCCATAAAACAAAATTTTTCAAGAGAAAGATAAAACAGTTTCATTCTTTTAACAAATTATACCTATATTACGCATCTTTTCTTGCTTTTTATTTCAACATTAAGATTTTGAATTTTAACAGATTTTTTAATTGCAATTTTTAAAATGTCACAATTTTGGGCTCGGTACACTTTTAAAATTTTAACCGCTGGCTGATGAGATGACGCTGGCAACAGATGTGGTGAAGCTAAAACCCTCAGAAAGTAAAGACCTAACCCTAAATCCTTCAATTCTGTTCAGTACAGATGAGAAAGTTTTGATGACCTCATTCAAGAAAGTACATTGTAAATCAAGTGAATTCCCATATTAAATCAAATTGTCATGTGAGACTGAATAAGCATGGTAATATAAAGCATGAAGGAAATTTGATAATACATTTTTAACCTTCAACGCCACCACCTACATAGAAAAATGAACACAACGACTCAACTTTCAAAAGTTCAACTAATTTGAGCATGATTTTTCAAAGAAGGCCTTCAACGCTGGTTCTGTAGTTTCTGGAAGATCCATGGAAAAAAGATGGGTCAGCTTGCTGTAAGATAACCCACCTGAAAAAGAAAACGTAGTAACATGTAGTACAGTGTGAAAGAAAATTCAAAGAAAAGACATAATAATTTGCAATCCACGACATCCTGGAACCAGCCACTCATTAGTTTTCGGGCATATACAAATTACTGATATCATCTTAAAGTCTGTTCATTTGTCTTGTTTTTGATGAGTAAAAAAAAACCCATCTTTATTCACATTAGGCATGTTTGATAGTATGTAAATGAAACACTTGTTACAGCAAAATACTAGAGGCATTTCATGCCTTTTCTTTGTTCTTAGACTATGCACATTAATTGAAGATTGAATTGTCTTCCCAGTTGTAATTTCATTATCATCCTCTTTGAAATCATTGTTCTTTGACACAGAATTGAGAAGCAAGGGATAATATATGGCAGAGATTTTTTTCATTAGCCTACATCAACATGTCCTTGGACCCTAACACCATGTAATTAATCAAGGTACTCAATATATCAATCATTTGGTCTGATACCACCCCAAAATAAATCTGTTCAATTTATCAGATATATTTTTTACAAGCTCTGATTGACTACAACTCACCTTTGAAACTAATCAATTGATACTGTAAAGCACTGTCAATGAACACAGTCGAACCTGTTCATAACAGTCACCGTGTTCACAGAGAAAAGTCACTGTTATAGACAGGTGGTTGCTTAGGTGCTATGAATGGACAGGGTCCAAGTTATGGACGCTTACTAGGTTTGACAAAGCCAACAGGTAGTTAAAAAATCTGAAATCTTTATTCTATTTTTCTATTTCATTTCCATCAAAATTGTGATCCATCCTAAGAGCTTTGTTGCATTGATTGAATGTGTACACTCAGTCTGAGGACGGGCTGGCAGAAAACTTTCGTGGCAAGTGACTATTATATGAGCAAGTTGTGAGGCTGACTTGTTGCAAAAATGGCTGACTATTGACATGTTGCATAGGATGTTATGGAAAGCTTAAAAATACAGGGAAAACGCAAAGGTGTCGTAGTACAGTTGACATAAGTACAGATGACTGCTTTGGAGAGGTGACCACGAAGGCAGATGCGACTGAACTTTTTAAAAATTACAGCATATTTTTTTTAAGAAGCAGAAGAGCGATATCAAGGAAGGAAGCGTTCAAGTTTCTAACCTACTCAGCACAGAACCTGAGATATCAGTTTTAGCATCTCAGTTCTAACAGATGATTTCAGAAATATCTTGGTCCAGGAAAAATAACTTTTCAAGAAAGTCTGACCTCACTACTCCAGAATGTAAAAATTAATCCTTGAGAGAATTATATAGCACAATACCTGTCTAGAAGGGAAAAAAGCTAATTAAAAAATATACAAACAGTACCACTACTGTCAATGGTGTTCCAATAAAATTCTTTAAAAATAGCAAACATTTTTAAGGTCCCAGTATCTCAAAAACTAATCAATACTTAGTCAAAAGAATTACAGTCCACACTTTTTTAAGAGTAGTAAAAACAGTCAGTCTGACAGGATGTCTTGTTGCAATCAAGGTTCGAGCGTGAAAAATAATATTTCTATAGTTTGTCATTTCCCTATTTTGTTGGAATTTTCTCAAAGTATCTTTCTACATATTAAAACAAACTCTATAGCTGATATCAATAAGGCTTCTTGAAGCTTTTTGTTACTTACATGAAACCCATTCAGACCACGCTGAGACACTGACAGCTTCTTTGTGCTGGTGATGAGAAGACGGAGGAGCTGCTTGCAGAGGGGATATGGCAAGGAGATGCTGTGCACTGTGTTGTCTTTCCTCCAAGCTTTGAACACATCTGGAGCTTGTCTGGTTGAAGAACAAAGGAAAGAATTATAATATTCTTCTTTCATGTTTCCCCACTAGACTTCAGTGATTTTTGATAAGATGTTCTTCAACATATAGTGAAACTTTTGTTTGCATTCACGTCTTTTTTGGAGGACTAGACCATCTCACTCTTGCCAAACACAGACAGAAACCGGCGGTTTCAAAGGAACTCTCAAAAGTATTAACTATAAACATCTAAGTATGGGATGCCTTTACAGGTAAGCCCGGGCAGATGAGCTCTTTTTTAACTTACATCTACTAATGTGCATAGAGCGCATCCAGGTACCATAATTGTTTGCCCTTTCTGAGAAAATAATAGGAAAAACCTAACCACCATTAGGTTCGCATGTGCCAAACACATGAGACAAAAAAAAAGTTATTTTAAAATATTATTGCGAAAATAAACTACAAAAAACGCCATACACTCAAGCAAACAAGCCTCATTACTGACCTTACAGAAATACGATATATGGGTGTACCTGTAAAAAATTTAGTTATCCCAAAAGCTTATACATTTAGTGATAATATACATACTTGTCAACGCATCCATTTACAGACAGGAAATCGGCTTTATACAGGAGTTTCATACTCTCACAGGGAGAACAAGAGTAGGAACGAGAGGCATTTGGAGATGATGACAATGGGGAAGATGATGAAGTCGATGATGCTGAAGAAAAGACTACCAAGTCTTGATCCAACAGCCATAACTGGGGGAAAAAAAAAGAAATAGAAATATCATTACATTGGCTCAAACATTAATCTTTGGAGTTCATCAAATTGACAGAATTTCTCTTGCACTTTAATATTGTCTATGTCAAGCAGAATTCAACCAGGGTGACTTTGAAGTCTTTTCTTCATTTCACATGAATATATATATTAATGTACAAAACAATCACTAGATAAAAACATACTGTCAATGTACGAGAAAATATTCTTGAGTATAATTGACAAAGAGGGAGGAACAGACGCAGAAATAAAGTTCAGTATTGGAAAGGCACAAACTGCATTTATTTCTTTGAACAGGATTTGCAGAACCAGGGATATCTCACTACGAACAATGCTGGGGATTTTCAACTCAAATTTTAAGTGAGTCTTGTTGTATGGATGTGAGACATGGAACGCATCTCAGGCGTGCATTAAGAAGATCCAGGTTTTCTTGAACAAGTGTCTGAGGAAGCTGCTGAGGATCAGATGGACTGACAAGATCACCAACGAGGAAGCATTTAGAAGAACGAGACAGAGCCCAGTCAGAGATGAGGTGGGAAGAAGGCGTTGGCGATGGATTAGACACACTTTCAGGAAGTCAAGCAGCTGTATAACAAGGAAAGTGTTAGATTGTAACCCACAGGATAAAAGATCAAGAGGAAGACCACGTGGAACCTGGAGAAGAGTCACGGAAATGGATGTACTGAAAAATGGGAAGACATGGAGTGACATCCAGCGACTCGCCCAGAATAGGGAAAGGTGGAAAGAGTTTTTTCGTGGCCTATATCCTGATCCATGGTGAAAAAGACAATGATGATGATGATGAGAAAAATTAGCGACTCTAATTTCATCAACTTGTAGAGCAGGATCAAAAAGAGTTACAAATACTTCTTGAGATAGCAACAATACCGTCTTCTGTATAATATTGTCCAGTGTTTTTATTCATTTGTTTACATTCAATTTTCAGTTTACAAATGATCTTGATATTGCAAAATTTTCCAAGTAATATCAAAGTGTGAGAGTTAGCATATCTTTATCAGGACCACACAAAAAAACCGAGAGAAGAAACAACTTAAACCACAGAACCCTAAACCATGTTGTTGTTGCTGTTATCCATCCAGAACACTAAACAATAAACTTCAGCATGTTGTGATTAATGCCTAGCTGAGGTAAGTTGAACAACAGTCGAGTAAATGAAGTCCTTAGCATAAGAAGTTGCTTCAATCAGTGGTTTGGTTTGTGCCGTTTCTTTTGTCATCACAGTTAACATTATCTTGATCAGATTCCACTCAAAGTGATGATTTGACAAAAGAAAGATTAAAACAGGAGTTTTCAGCCATATAAAGAAAGAGAAACCAAAGATATTATGAATAAAGGAGAAAATACCAAAACGTTGAAGGTAATGCTGATGGACTTTCTGAATAGAGGACATTTTTTGCTTGCCTTGTGTAAAAAAAAACAAAAAAACTTTTCAACATAAACTGTGGGCATAGAATTATGGAGCTCCTGCTGGCTTGTCAAATTGACTAAGGAAAAATCTTGTCAAAGTCCAAAATCTGACAAGCTGTGGGTAACAATAAGTGGGGTTATTAAAAGGTTATCATAAACAGACATTCATGTAGGTGTACTGGTTGTTTTAAAAAATGCGCAAAGCTATTACATTCCCTATGAGGAACAGATACTATAGACAGTTCTTTGAGAAACACTTTTTAACATCAGAACATCAAGTCCTGTTACCAAACCTTGTCAACACCAGGTGCAACATCACAACTCCTTCAGCACGTTATATCAATATTTCTAATGAATAAACCACCTTCAACAGTGTTCTAGTCAATTCATGAAAACATGACCAGAACAATAATTTCCTTTTTTCTGACAAAAACTTTTTCTCTTCAACCCAAAGAATGGTTAAATGTTCCAAAGCACAAGCTCATCCAGGAGAGACTATATGTGACTTCAAGTAAACATGACTTCAACTAACAATATCTATTGTTGACCTTTACAATGTGTGTTTAACTCTAAATTTCAACTCACCAAAATTATTACACCACTTTGTCCTTCAAACTGTAGGGATGCATCCACGATGAATCGAAAACTGGTGAATCTATGACTTTGGTCTCTCAGCAAGTGGCACATAAACTCTTCCACCGTTTGTTCACTTAGACTGAAAGGGAAAGTAAGAAAAGAAATAACAGAAAATTGAAATATTGAAAACATCAAAATGTGTCTGGTTTGCTTAATTCGAAGGAAGAATATTAATAGCACTACAATAGACCCAACAGAACATTGAAAATGTTGACAAAGAGCACTTCACTTCATCTTATCTGAATACAAATAGGACAGGTGGAACTAACAAATTAGAAGAACAAAAATGCTTTTCTATCTTCATACAAGGATTCAAAACATGAACCACATAGCTCCCAAAAATGAGAAACACACACATTGAAGGAAAAAAAAACCCATCCTCTGTCTTTACATACTAAAAATCTTCCTAAAAATTTCAATTTTTAAATTCTAAACCTATCTCAATTAAATCTAAGACAGTTTTCTCCAATATCTTGAACTGTATCATCAGCATTATCAGCCCTCTGCATGCAGGCTAGTTTGAATCTCCCTGCATTTCAGTCCTTTCAGTTCAAAGCAGATTTGCAACCATAAAAGCAGTTTCAACAGCACAGTACTTTCATAAACTATGTAAATAAGGAAGAAAGAATCATCTGAAGACAGAAAATCTACAATACCTATTAAAAGAGAACAGAAGCTGACAAAAAAGCCCATTAGAATTTAAAATACCATTGTTCCAACGTAAAGAGAGCATCATTTTTTAACAAAGATAATAAAATAATAAGGCATTCAATACTATTTTCCTTTTTCTCTTACTGGGCTCCACAGCTAGACCACAGAGGATGACGGCAGCCTCCAGTAAGTTACACTGGGGTTTTTTGCACAGCAGTTTGTCATGGCTCTTGCAATTCTCAGTAAAAGAGTCGTAGACTCTTTAATACAAAACTTTATCCCACTAAAAGGCACATTTTCATCACTTATTGCCATTTCCCTGTTCTACACACAAGAGGTTCTATTTCTTTTTATTACGATACAAGACATAGCAAACAGCTCTAACACAAATTATATAAAAAGTCGGGGCACATCTTTTTTTCATATTATATGCACACATGCATCCTAAAATGAAAGGGTCTCAGCTCAGCACTATTCTGAGAAGAGAAAAAAAAAAAGCAACTGCAAAAGAAATTAAAAGTAGACTGAGAGAATGAAAGTTCAACTTTCGCAAAGCACACACATTAATGGCTGCTCACTAGTGCATAGACAAGAGTTTTTGTTCATTACTAAACACTTACAGCTTCTTTTCAGTGTCTGAGTTCAGGTCATCAGGGGTCAAAGACTTTGGTAATAGCTCCTTGTCAGAATCTTGTCTGAAGCAGATTGCATGGTAATACACTTTATACACATCGCTGGCACTGTCAGACACTGGGGACTCAGCCACTACTTCGGAGCTCTTGGCTGACATGAGAGAAAGAGGAAATAAAAGTATTTTTAGGTCAATAGGTCTGTCCATTATTCAGACCTGCCACTCTATGAAACCTCAAAATCAGGATCTCATGGAGAAAAAATCGGGATTTGGTGAAAAAAATCGGGATCAACAGCAAATCACCAAGGTGACTGCCAAAGCTGACTTAAAATTTGTCCAGGGGTGTCCATAAATTCCTTGGCCTATATGCCCTCTGTGTGTCTTTTTAGCGCGCGCGCGCGTGTGTGTGTGTGTGTGTGTGTGCGTGCGCGTGAGTAATCATTATTTTTTGTAAATCCTGGAGCATCACGTCAAGAACTCCTAGTCCAAGTGTCTATAACCCCCCCCCACCTTTACCAAGAAGTCCCGAAATACCTGAACTTAAGTTGACCCCGTCAACGGACGGTCCCCGACACGCAGAATTCACACGGCGATGATATGTCACGTGACGCGACTGTGCGATTGAAACAATACTAACGGGTCCGACCGACTAACTGGTTCTGGTTACTGCACGTTCACACAAAACACTCGGATGAGCGACAGTCGTTCTACTTCAAGGATAATGACGGCGGCCGACCGACCAAATGTACCAACAAATCTCTTATCCCTCATGTGTTCAGACTAAAGCAACAACATCGGCCGTATGTTTGTCTTGTCAGCGCAGTTACATGTAGTTGTGTAAGGGTTAGAAAGACAGTCGCTCGTCCGAGTGTTCGGTGTGAACGCGCAGTTACCAGACCTCGGACAATGCTTATTTAGAAAAGTAACAGCGGAACTACGAATATAATCGATTATTAAATAATGTCCCAAATAGAAACAGTTACCAGGCTATCATCGGAGAATTCTGAGTGCGGGAAAAGATCACACACAACTTGGGGAGAGTCAACTACTAAATGCGGCATCGATATTTCGGGAAATAGTGCTCCGAGTTCCTACTGACAAAAAGTTCGACGGGTGCTTCCCGTGATAAAGGAGAATGCAGAGGAAATTTTTAGAAAAATCCGACACAACAGCAGACTGGGACAAAAAATCGGGATACACGCGATCGAAATCGGGAAAATCGGGAGGATTGAGATTTGGGGCAAAAAATCGGGATATCCCGACTAAATCGGGATGAGTGGCAGGTCTGATTATTTAATTTTAAAAGACAGAGAATTATAGAATATGCAATGTCAGACATTTTCAGCTAAACCATAAGAGTAAACTTTCAATTTTTTAAATGGTTAGAGAGAGAGAAAGAGAGGGTGGGTGATGAGGTTGTAGGAGCACATTTTCAAATAATGACAAAGAACAAATGAGCAAATGACAACAATTTAAGACCTGAGGACAACACCAGGGTCAAGTAACATTTATGATTTCGAGAAAATGAGCAAAAACCTCATTCGTGAAATATATACAAGTAAGTTCCCATTAGAGGGTTTAAATAGACGTTTTCCTGGACTTGACATTGCTTCTCCAAAATGAGAACTAGAGGAAAATTGCCCAAGCTGAGATCATATTTCCACAAAATTGCGCCAGCATACAACCCAGATCTGTCCTGTCGAGCCAGCAAGGAGGAGGACGAGACTGTGGACTATGTGTTCCTGAGATGTCCCGCCAACTATCATGCCAGAACTCATCTGCTGGGACATTTCAGTAACCCACTTTCAGCATTTTACAAGGACCCCTGGGCATGCTGTCAGCATCGCTGACCGTTTATGACGCCATCGCGTCAGAAGAAACTGAGAGAGAGAGAGACTTGACCTTGGTTGTTGCATTTACACTTCACATCTTTGAACGAGAATAACAGGGCATAGGAAACGAATAGCACTTCATCAGTGCTATTAAAAGATAGCTCTTTGTCGCTGCTTTCAGATCTGCAAAACTTTATTTTCAAGAAAATGTGACTTGTTGTTGTTCTCAGGTCTTCAGTCTCAGGGACTAATACCTCTTTTCACAAAACCCAGGAAGTTTCCACACCGGTTACAGATCAGTTTGTCCTTATCATTGCAGACAGCCCCGGTCTTGATCTGCCCTGAACTGACCAACATGTACAGGCTACTAACTAAACAGTCATCGGGCCGAGGCAGCAGGTCTCTGTTCCTCGTGTGGTCCACACTGGGTGCACTTGTTGCTTCTGGTGTGTGGCCGTGGCCGTGGCCATCATGGTTGTGGCAGAACCAGATGTCCGCAAAGTCAGACCAATTTTCTGATGGCAATGGCAGAACACGCTTGAAATTACTGAAAAAAAAGATTATTATCAAATTTTTAATAATAATAATAATAATAATAATAATGATAATAATAATAATGTTAATTAAATAACAATAATGATGATAATAATAATAATAGATTGCATTTATATAGCGCTCTATTCCATACTAGTATAAGTTATAAGCTCGGAGCGTTTATGATAACAGAGTAATAATTCATCTTACCAGTTCTCAAAGAATGAGAAACATTTTACAGCATGGAAAAGAGAAAAATCAGGGTTTTTAAAAAAACATTTCTGCTTGTAAAATCGACTCAGTTACATCATATCCATCATGACACTGTATGAGCAGGAATGGCATCACTGGAAAAATATAATTCAATTTAGTACTAGGAGCAGTCTCTACATAAAATAATAAGAAAAAAACAAAGACTACAGGTGTTTTAAAAAAGTGGCCAAATTAAACAATTTCAAATCACATCTATACCACTTGCCCTTGTCCCACTTAAGTCTATGAAACTGCAGGTACATAATTGCAGGATAATGTGGGAAAAGTGGAATTTTAAGTTTTTAAGAATTTCCTTCGTATCATTGAAATCGAAAGCACCAAGACTAATTTTCAGAATAAATAAAACAACAAAAACAAATAAACAACAACAACAAAACCACAGGAAGAATGTAAAATATGGGAGCACAAATTCAAAGACATTTTCCTTTGTACAAAAATGAAGTGTTTCAACTGCAGCAATCCTCACGTGAAGCACAGATTTTAAAAAATAATTCATCACCACACAAAGCACATAAGTAGGCAGAACTGTAAGTACATTAAAACAAAAATGCACCCTGAATCCAGTCATATAACACACATTTTCAAACAGCATAAGCATTCAGCTGTCCAGACAGAAACAAGAGAGACAAGTTGCTAACACTGTAGTACCATTTTAGCGCTGGAATTGTTCTGTGACAGAAATACACCCAGAAATCATGAACAAAAACTTTTGGGGCATATATAAAAACAAACCTTTGCTAGAACAATGGGATCAATTTGATTTTGAAGGTTAGATTTTTATTGATATAAATACTCTCATTTTCATTTATATAAATACTATAGTGAAGAGGACAACATACCAACTGGGTTTGAAAATCTGTGCCCCACAGCCAACACAGAAACATCTGGACTGGCAAGCCTGAATTCTCGATACCAGAAGGTCTTGATTGATATGCTGATAACCTCCATTGAACTTGTGGCTGTTTACATCACGACTTTTGTTTCCTTCTTCTGTCTAATATTGTAAATAAAGTGTTAATGATAGTATATCATACCAACCATTAAAAATAGACTAATCAATGCAAAGTCAAAAAGGTAATTCAATTAGAAATCTCATGACTATTTACGTACTTTCTGTCTAAGAGGCTAACACTATTATTCACTTGCATATCAACAAAAAACTGAACTGGAAACAAAGGAAAGCATATGGCAATGATAGGATGCATTATATAGTAGCATTTAACTGAAAAACAAACGTGAAGAAAAAAGAACCATAAATCCTTCTTGCATAGAGACCATTTAAATATGTGCTGATTCAAATGCTTTTAGTTATTAGAAAAGAAATATTTCTAAAGGTTACGCACTAACCCACTCAGCCTCAAGCGTCAACTGAAGCTCCTGTGTTCCAATCCAACGTAGACCACGACATGTTTCAGGTTTCAGAGTCAAACTTTGCAAAATAAACTCTGCATTCGCCAACCCTGACAGGAATATTATCTTGTTTTGCTCAACAATTACTCTTGAAGAAACGCAAATAAGCTCCCTGAAAGAAAAAAAAGATATATTTTGAATTTGACATAAACCATGGAGTAATGTAAGCTCCACACACTCAGTTTTGCAGGCTAAAAACTGTAAAGATAAACATTGACCAACCTGCAAAGAATTAGGGAAAACAAAAATACATACTTACATTAAATGCAGTAGTCTGCTAAAACTGAAATCTACAGGCCCACTGGGCCTTCTTTAATTAAGCTGGTTTTCAGTTTAAATAGTTTGCACAATTAGAAGAAAAAGTAATCAGGGGTTATATTTACTTTTGGTTTAATGTTCGGTTTAAATTAGAACCAGAAGAAATCGTCAGTGGAGCCCATAGTTCTCCACTGGTTTAGGTTTATAAGGGGTGCTAACTAGCCGCTACTGGCGCAATCGGGTCGGGTCCGGTCGATTTGGTAGTCAAGGTTTAGTCAAATTGAGGGCACAAAGCAGCCATCGTGGCACAAACCAATCGACTCAGTCAGTGACCTTCAAAAACAAACATGTTTGTTTTCAGTCCTGCGAGTCGCGTGGTTTGCAGCCAGTCACAAGGCTGAATCACGTGTCTATGTTGGCACTCAATATCCGGTGGCGCCCTCTTCGAAAAAGTGCTGACTTTGAGAACACAGCTACCGTATTTGTGTGAAAAACAATAAAAGTGGATAAACGAAAGAGAGCTGCAAAACAAAGACTGCTGCGCCATCTGAACCAATGCACGGACTTCGGCGGACATTTTTGGGGCCGAGTGAACTACCTTGTTATGAACGATCTTTGATAATAAGAAGTTATCGATGTAACCCATGTTTATGGGATTCCAGGCTGCCTCAGCACTGCAACAGGGAACTGCGGAAAGGAGCCCTGAAAGCCACTGAGGTTAAAGTTAAAGGTTCCTCTCCACTTTAACTTCCAGGTCGTAGGGTACAATCGCGGTCGGGTTGTAGTGCGCACTGAAGCCACCAGATCCGATCACGCTAATGGGCACCTTCTATAAGAGTGTAGTATCATACTGAAAAGGGCAAACTCAATCTGTGAGTTTCTGGACACATTGGGGGGGGGGGGGGGGTACGAATTAAAGAGATGCCTTAAAAAACCCAATGCTGGATGGCCCTCAGATGCTATTTGGAGGATCGAAAGTATTTGTGAAACAACTACAAACCGACGACTCATTTATTTTCCGACTAAGATCTAGACTACTATGACTATGAGTCACTTTTATTAAAAGTTACTAGACTAGGCTACAAGGTATATATAGCCTATTCTTACTAAGAGCCTAGAAGAAAGTAGATCTAGATTCGGTACTACTAAAGAAGGCCACCTATATTCTCACCCCTGGTGAGAATAACTTTTATGACCTGCTATTCTCACCCCTGATTAGCCTCAGCCCTGGTCCGTCTAGTGTCATTTGTGGTAAAACGATCTCATAACCACTTCCATCAAACTATCCAAGCTCTTTTCTTCCCTTTCATTTTTTTTTCTTTTGTTCTTTCTTTTCCTTTTTTTTTTCTGGCCTCTTCTTTCCCCTTCTTCTTGAGCATTTGGAGTTTGGAGCCAAAAAAGAGCCAGAGAACCAAATGAAATTCTCAGTGCCAGACATGATCCAAAAGAGCAAAATTTCTGGGATTTGGCTCCAAACTGACAACCCTGACTGTGGCTATTCGGACGCGAACAGTGATGAACATGATGTTGTGGAGCATCAGCCCTGAACCCCCCCCCCCCCTAGGGTCATGCCCGCTAACCTCAGCCCTGATCCCTCTAGGGCTTAGCGTACAAGAAACCATGCAGTGTACCCGCTCGCGGCGTGGCGAAACTGGAGGGCTGACTGGGAGCCTCAGTGTGCATGCGGCTATGCACGCAACGCAAGGCAAATGGTAGAGAAACACACCCACTCTCTCCCATCCACCTCTCTCTCTCTCTCTCTCTCTCTCTCTCTCTCTCTCTCTCTCTCTCTCTCTCTCTCACACACACACACACACACACACACACACACACACATACTGACACTGACACACACACACACACACACAAACTTCATAAGTTAGCACTAATTAAAGTAGAACATCCGATACATTGCTCCCAATTACATGTACTTGGGATGAACTATCAACGTCAAAGTTCAAACGCTGATCATTTAATACTCCACCCCTTCCTTATTCAGGATGTCGCAGAATATGAATGGGCTTTAAATCTATCCGCACTTGTATATAAGTGTTGGTGAGAAACATGAAACAAAAGAAAAATACAGATCTTAGATCTTGATCTTGAATTTAGAAGTATGAGTGATAAACAAAACGAAAAAAAACGGTTTTCATCAATAGTCTTATGACTACAATGTTTGCTGGTAAAACATAAATAGGGAATACTTGAATACAAAAGTTAGAGATTTTGTAGTACTGCTTGACGTTAATCGGAAAAAACCTGAAACTTAGATCTAGTCAAAGGAAAAACAAACTGAATATGTCGCAAAAGACCAGCATCATTTTACATTTATCGAGTGTCTGTAGAGTAGATATGACCAATACTTTCTGGTATTATAGTAGAATTCTAAGTGAGCTGGTGTGATAAACCATAAAGATGTTTTAGTTTGCTGAAAACATGTAAGAGTATACAGAATAATTGGCTTGCAGCAAAGTTAGATTATATCAAAGAAGCTGTTGTGGCAATATACACTGGAGATAGTACTTCGTACTAATATGAAATCTGTGAAAGGGAAGCATGCCAGTTTGTCACAGGCCCACGACCCCGCTTCGACTATGCCCTGCATGATGGAAGTTATCACTCTCAATAAGAGTAAAAATGAATGATTGATTAATAGTATGAATTGAATTTTATTTTTCTACTGTTTTTAACGAAAGAACATTCCTTGTTCAAATTTTACAGAATAATATCCTTTGGTTTGCAAACAAAAATGAAGAAACATAAACAACACAAGCTGAATTGATATAAAAAGGGACTATCTAAAGTTACAATACCAATTTGAACGTGGAGCGAGAATAAGAAAACTAAAGTTACGACTGCAGTGTTAAAGGGCTATAAAATTATGACTGTCATCAATACTTAGATATCTAAATACCTAAATGAAATTGTGACAAACTGGGCCTGTGTCAAACTGGGCAGTGAAAAGGCCTACTTTTTCATCAAAAACTTAGTAAACTTGTGCAAGAAAGACAATTCAACCAGAAAAATAACAGAATAGATAGATAAATAAAAATAAGTAAAATAAATTCATTAAAAAATCTCACGTCCATTGGAAAATGCATATATTATATATTTGTCTCCTTTATAGTTTATAGGTCCCACAATCCATTCTAATGTTGTGCTGCCTTTGTTGATTTGGACGAGAGCTTCGTTGCCTTCCTACTCGATCCACAGTCTTGACTGTTGCTGCTGTTCTGAACGGCAAATCTTTTTAGGAAGATGTTGACAATGCATGTGAGGGTTTTCTTAGACACAACGAGATATAAGTTAAAAGTGTCCATAAATTGTCTCATGATTGTAGCCAACCGAGCTCGACAGAGTTTTGAAACTGAATTTGTAAAGAACATCTTCAATTGTATCACCCTCACTTGCAAACAGGTGCATATAGATGCAGCAACCATTATATGTCCAATACGCTGAGAACTGAGGATTTTAAACTGTATTTCATCCTCATCCGTTGCAACTACACCATCATGTGTTGTTGAAGTTTTTTAAAAAGAAATGACAAAGTTTTTCTCGAAAATTGCTGATTGATGTTTGCATTGCAGAGCAAGTCAGCGGCTTCAATGTCCATACTCCGACATCTGAAGTCACTGGTAGAGTTCTGTGTTGTTCTTGAATGAGCAACATTACGTAGTGTAGATGGGAGTACACTAGGAAAAATACTGGGAGGAACATCAGGAGATGGATACCTAGATCTAGATTTTCTGGTTATAGGAGCACCGGGTGGTCAGTGTAAAGATCTACTGCAAACGCCCAAATGCCTAGTCACTTCATTGTGTTTCCAGTTGTGCCTTGGTATGCTGTCGACCCTCTTCTTACATTGCTTGGGGTCAGTAGGAAAGGAATACACACTGACGTCCTTGTCCGATCCTCTTTTACTTTCATACTTTGAGGAGCATCCATACATGGAACACTTTTTTGTCATGGTGGCCCTTGCAGACACAATAAAACACACCTTTTATCCATCAGAAATTCACCTTGTAGGCCCACACATTCAAAACAAATCTATATTAGTCTTAGTATGTTAGAACACAATGAAGAAATCTTGCTGTATAAATACCGGTACAAGAATAGGCAACAAGTACCGGTAACAAGTGCGTCGCGTTATATGCATGCACACGCACACTAAAAGGACTACTACACACTACACACAAGGCAAGACAATAGGCCTTGCTCCTAATTGAGTAATTGAGTTTCACGCGAACAATGCGGCGAGCGAATGGCAGGCGAGAACCCAGCCTCACAGATTCCTGCCTGGAAGGGCTGTCGGGACGCATGGTTTCTTGTACGCTAAGCTCTAGGGTCATTTCCGGTACGAGGGGATGAGAATAGTGGGACCCACATTCTTAAGTAGATCTAGTAGGCCTACCCTAGATTCTAGATCTAGACTACGGAGTGTCTACGTGCACGGTAATCTCATGTCTAGTCTCAGTATCTACGTACACCGTAACTGGGCACCTAGTCTCACCTAGTCTCAGTATCTACGTACACGGTAACCGGGCACCTAGTCTCAGTATCTACGTACACAGTAACCGGAATGAAAATAAATCAATATTTGTCCTGTGCTGTCACTTGCTGAAAAAAAAAAAAAGTCGTACAAGCGTCTTGTCGGGCTCGCCATCGTGACCGGTCAGTCTTCTTCTTCTTCTTCTCGATCGCATCACACTTGAAGTCCGGTATCTGTAATAAATTGGGCCGTCCTGCTCAGTTCATCTGGCGGCCCGTATAGCTTCTCTTGTAGCGTCAGTGGGGTTGGCCACGTTTCCTGTCTCAGGGCCCTGTGTGTCTTGCAGTGCTGAAGGATGTGTTCAACAGTTTGGTCCGCCTCTCCACACTGGCATTTTGGTGATTGTACTAGTTTAAAACATTTGTACATATGTTGTCTCAGTCTTGTGTGTTGTGTCCTTAGTCTGAAGATAATCACTTGTTCTTGGCGGGACAGCTCATGGTAGCCATCTGGTGTCTGAGGTGCTTCAAATAGTGTATTTATAATAGTTTTTATTTCTGTGTAGTTAACGCTGTTGTCTGGTTGCTCTTTTTGTGCTCCTAGTTTGGCCATCCTGACTGCCTGCTCATTTCCCAAGACACCACAGTGTGATGGAATCCACTGTAGCATGATCCTCAAACATGGGATGTCCTCAATTTCTTTTCGTAGCCTTGGTAGTTTGCCAGAAGTGATTGCCTGCAGTACTGACATGGCATCTGTTAGGAATACTACTTGGCTTTGGGGTCTACCACATTCTTGATGGTGTTTGCTGCATGTACTAGAGCCTCCGTCTCTGCCCTGTAGTTTGTACAATGTCGCCCTGTTGGGACTGCCTCTGCTTGTCGTCGTCCATTTGGGAACTGTACGTACACTTCGGCTTCTCCTCTTTTCACAGCATCAGTGGCAGATCCGTCTGTATAGATCCTTATCCATGCTTCTTGTGGGTATCTTTCTTCAAGCATGGACAGGGTGAGGGACTTCTTGCTCAGGTCGCTGTGGTCATCTTTTGTGGTGAACATAGGAATGGACGTGTGTATAGATATGTTTGTGTTTTTCTTTTCCCATGATGGTGCCTCTGGGATGTGATTCAGCATGTTAACTGTGACTGGTAGATGGTCCTGTAGGGATCTTTGGATTTTTCTGCTTTCTTTGATGAAGTTGGATCTTTTGAGTCTTGCGGTGTTTGATCTCGCTGTTCTCGTGTGCAGTATATGATCCTCCATAGCTGTGGCCTTGGTGTACTGTATAAGGGCCTTGCATTCCCATCTCCTCTGCAGGGCCACTATAGATGTTGTTTGTTCCATCTTTTCTATAGGCGTTGACCTCATTGCTCCAGTGATTATTTGGAGAGCCTGGTTTTGCACTTTTTCCAGAGTGTATTTGTGAGTCTGTGCTGCAGTCATCCATGCACTGGATCCGTACTCGAGATGGGGCCTGATTGCGCCCAGATAGACCTGTCTAAGTGTTTTCTCGTTTGCTCCCCACTGAGTCCCTGCTAGTTTTCTCATGATGTTAAGTTTCTTCCTGGCTTTATTTTCTGCATTCTGAATGTGTTGTTTCCATGTGAGACGCTTGTCAAAGATTATTCCAAGATACTTCTGTTGATTCTCAAACTTTAGGGGGGTTTTGTCTAATGTGAGGTGTTTTGGCTCAGCCTGGCTGAGAGTGAAGAGTGTAGCAGAAGACTTTTCTTTGTTTACGGTTACACACCAGGTTTTTGTCCATGTAGTGAGTTTGTCCAATGCTAGTTGCATGCGATATGTGGCTGTAGTGACGAATTCCTCAGAGCACCAAAGAACCAGGTCGTCTGCATACAATGCGGCATGTATTCCTTTGGGCAATTCATTCATGAGGTCATTGATGAAGAGGATAAAGAGCAAAGGTGACATGACTCCACCTTGGGGTACTCCTTGTCGCAGCAGCATTTTCCGTCCTTGATATCCATTGACCGGTCAGTGAACCTGTGTGTTCGCATCACATTGTGAGTACCGGTTGGGGTCACCAAAGTTCATTCAAAGTCTGTGACTGTGAAGTATAGGGCTCTGGAAAGGGGGGATAGTTTTTTTAATGATACAGTCGGGGGAGGGGTGGGGATGAAGGCAACACCAGATAAACTTGGAGTTCTGGACTGCCCGGTTACCCTGTAAGTGACACTGAGACTACATGCCCGGTTGCTGGTTACCGTGTACGTAGACACCGAGGCTAGGTGCCCGGTTACCGAGTACGTAGACACTCCGAAAGCCTAATGCCTAATGCATCTCGCCTCTGCCAGTCGGGAGCGTCTCTCTTTCTCTCTCGCCCTTTTTAACTCCCAGTGGAGCACAGGCCATCAACAGCATAGTCAGGAGCGTCTACGGAGTGATTATTCTCACCCGGGGTGAGAATAACGACAGCCTACTATTCTCACCCGTTTTTTTCCGTTTCGGGCATCATAGGAGGACCCCTGCCACTGAACGCTTCAGGCGACAAAGTTCGCCTCCTTCTCTCATTCCACTGAGCACGTGAGGCGACTAAAATCGCCAACGGGCAGGCCAGCTCTTGAGCGCGGGAGGCGACTATAGTCGATTTGGGGGAAAACCTTATCTTTTGACCAAATTAATAGTGTCACCTTTTGTTGCTACAGTAATTAATTTTGGTTGTGTAGGCCTAATGGAACATTTACTCTTGAATGGTTGAACAATCAAAATTAAGAAAAAAATAAGCCCAGAGTCAAGGCACTGCGTTCCTTAAAAATAAACGTGGACTCTGCTAGGGATAACAACTATTTACATGTTTTTTTGTGTTGTAAACAAAGGCCAATTCTAACATTACAATAACAAACTATTACTAACATTATTTCATTATAAACAGTTTTCAGTTAAGGCTATTAATTTTTAAAACATACTCTGGCAAGTGAATTCCTTTCTGAATTTAGAATATATTTACACTTGTCTTGGGTTTTAGTTTTGGTGAAGATATGTGTGCATACACTCAACTCAAGATTTTTTTAACGAAGTGATTATTCGGACTCGAGTCCAAATATGAAAAAATTTTATTCGGACTCTGATTCTTGTCCAGCATGACATCACTTCCAACTTCCTGTGACTCGTGACTCCGACTTCCTGTCCTGCCTCACTCGTGACTCGCCTCAGGCTGGGTAGAGACCGGGATCACTTCGGGCAAAAAGGCGTTTTGAGCAGGAGCCGAGTTTTAATCTTACGATGAATTTGAGGCCGGCCTGAAAAGTTATAGCGCTTCTAATAAATGTTTATTTGTCAAGAGGTCATCAGAAGCAATTAAAGATGGCTCGTTAGCGTGTGTCGTGGTCGGATGGGCGGCCTGCACACGTGTGGCTGTGTGCCTGTCGGGGAGGGGGGTGGGGGGCACTATCGGTCCGGGCGTTGAACGTCGCATACGCGTCAGTCTCCCTCCCCCCCCCCCCGGCAACTGATCATTATTACAATAATAAGCTAGTCTTGACGTAGATCTACGTAATAAATTGTGCGCTGGTCTATGGAATCAAAAGTTGCCCTATGCTCAGCTCTACACAGCAACACAACTTTTTCTGGATAAACAGCTCATAATATGCAGGTGCCAGGTGGTCTGCTAATCTTCAATTTCACCTTTTTCTAAAACAAAGAAAGTGGGAAACATGGGGGGTGGGGGGGGCGTATCAATGAGGCGGCGGGCATTGGATCGGCAGAAAAGGTGTGTGTGTGTGGGGGGGGGGGGGGGACTAAAAAATGGCGGAAAATTGGAAGCACTGAACGTTAGAACTATAGAACGAAGACACTTCCTTTTTTTCGGTTCGGACTCGAGTCCGAATACCGACGGCCTTTTTTAAAATTAAACCAATAACAATCCCCACGGGAGCCTAGAAAAAACAGCCAGAGCTCTGGTACAGGTCACGAACCGTCACTCTCTTACAATTCACAAATTATTTTAGATTCTATCAATCCGTTCTCAACAACCAGGTAGGCTAGACTAAACATCCATTGCATTCTCAGACCGGGTGAGAATAATATTCATTTTATTGATTTAATATTATTCTCACCCCAGGATATTAGGGTGAAAATAAAATTATATTTTTATTTTCACCCTGGGCGAGACTAACGCAGAGTGTTTGGCGCTTTTTCGGTAGGCTAGTTCCCACCCCGCAATTGTTATTCGCCGGTTTTGGCCCCAAGAGTAGGGGGGTTTCAGGGGGGCTTGCCCCCTGATTTTACCATAATTTGATGTTTTGCAGTTGTTAGGTTTGATTCTAGACTCTAGATCTAGATCTACATCTAGATGATCTAGATCTAGATCTAGATCTAGATCTAGATTTAGATATCTAGATTCTAGATCTAAATTTGTGGCAGAAAACTCGTGGGGCGAGCGGACACCTCCTAGTCCTCTAGATCTAATCTAGATCTAGATCTAGATTCTAGATCTACCTAGAATCTACCTACTCTAGAATCTACTAGAATCTACTTACAGCTAAAAACAGTGCTGACTCACCTTGAAAATTCGATGTATATATTAGCTGACGACAAAAGTGGCTTAAATTCTGCCCGAATACTAACAGATGGTTTCATGAGAGCCATTGTCGCTCAGGTACCTGTACATTTTTTCGACAATGAACAATGAACAACCTGCCTTGCCTCCCGCCTGCATGAACAAGTGCGACTCAAATTACCATAGCGTGTGGACCTATATGTTAGCTTTAGCGGTTAAAAAACATTTGAGCAGAACTTCCCTTTCACTTCGAAGATGAATTAACTTTTATGGGCCCGAAGAAGAAGAAGAAGAAGAAGAAGAAGAAGAAGAAGAAGAAGAAGAAGAAGAAGAAGAAGAAGAACAACAACAACAACAACAACAACAACAACAACAACAACAACAACAACAACAACAACAAGAACAAGAACAAGAACAAGAAGAAATATGAGGATCAGGAGGAGGAGGAGGAGGAGGAGGAGGAGGAGGAGGAGGAGGAGGAGGAGGAGGAGGAGGAGGAGGAGGAGGAGGAGGAGGAGGAGGAGGAGGAAGAGGAGAAGACGGAGAAGGAGGAGAAAACTAATAATTGTACTCTGCAGGGATTTTATAGAAAGCCATCGAGAGGCTTTTTTTTTAAAGTAATAGGGGCCTACAGGAATCCTGCAAAGAACCATCCGGGCATGTTCTGTTCGTTTTTTTCCTTCAAAATGTGTGCCTTGCTTCTTACTTACTCGAGTTGGTCTACCGCCAGGAACAAGATCAAAGGAATAGAGTTCACCATTTTACCGTAAGAATCTATACCCTTTCTATCACAGGCAGGCTGAAATACGACCACGCCAAAAAACAAATCAAAAGCCAATTACTAAAAACAGGGAGGGGGGGGACGACTTGAACGGAAAGAAAGAGTAATATTGAATAACTATTACTACAATTTGGTGGGATTGTGTGCTTTGAAAAGATCTGGTGATTTAATTACGTGACAAAAATCCCAAAAGACATGCATTTAATTCAATGAAACGGGGTGGCGTGTTTGCTTTAAAGTTTAAGGGTTGGCAGGATTTAACTCGGAGGTAGGCCTATCTGTCTTAACAATTTCTATAATTGTTCTTTGATAATAATATAATTTCATCCCAATTTAAGTATAATATCAGCTTTGGGTTTGAACACTGAGTCGAAATCAGCTTGATAACTGTTGACCTGATTGCGGTAATTTGAGATGATTGATTTATAATTGAACTTTTTATGTAACTTCTCATTCATAATGCAAACAGCTTCGAAACACTTAGGCCTATGTTCAATTATTTTTTTAATCATTCCTGCTGGTAGCTTACTTACGAAACGATTCTTGTTTGATTTTGTTGGTTCAATATCACTACTAGATCTAGTCTCCATCGTATAATACTAGACTAGTATTACTTCTTTTCTTTAAAATAGCCTTGTCGAGACCAAAAAAGTCGTTACAAGCACGCGAACACGGTATAAGACAGATACTCAGGCACTTAATAATCTTATAGACATGCAGACACGTTCAAAATATGTTATTGATGCAAATTGAGACAATGATCGGCCTTTTTTTTCGTACTCAGCTAACTTTGATTACAACTTTGCGGTTCTCACAACGGAATTTAATTTCGCTTCCCTTGCCGAAATTCCATGCTGACACATAATAGGACTAATTCGCAAACTTCAGATTCGCTTGAAAGTTAAAAGTGCGCGTTTTTAAACAAGCCTATGTTTCGTTCTAATGGTGGGGTCTGAATGCTGCACTCAGCTCTGATTAGCAAAACATTAGTACTTTGATATGCTACATTCTAGCCTACGAACAGACCTAATTTTATGAAACATTGATCTGACGGCCTAGCAAATAATGTGAATTTGTTTTCAGACAAGCAATGCATGTTGTACCCTAAGGAATACTATTTGGAATATTTCTGTAAAAGCTGTAGAGTTTGTGATACTTTGACGGATACAGTAAGGTAAAGCGCTTTTGCTAATTCCCGGTGTTTTGTACCAGGGACTTTTGTCTTCGACTGTTTATTATCATACACAAAGTAAAAAGGAACGCGTAGGTGTTTTTTTGTTTGTTTTTTTTTAAAGTCCAGAACGTCAAGATGATTGATTTCAACAATGATTCACTATCACCGCTCACAACTCAAAATACTGCTTCCGTCAGGGGCTCTGGTTCAATAATAAGCGATAAGTTACAAATTTACTTTGATCTTTACATCGCGGGGATGGGCTGCTTCATCATATCTGCTTTCGGAATGTGCACGAACTGTGTGAACATCATTGTTTTCCTCAGGTAGTACAATCGAAACTGCAAAGTGTTCCTCATAATATCGTTTCTTGTACCATTTACATTCACAATGGCTTTTTTGTTTGTTTGTTTGTTTTGTGGGATTTTTATATTCTATCTATCTATCTATCTATCTATCTATCTATCTATCTATCTATCTATCTATCTATCAAATTGTTTGTCTTTCGGCCAATGCGTCTGTCTAGTCTATCTATCTATCTAGTTTCCTCCTTCTTACAATGTATTTTCTTCTTTCGGTTTATTTCCGCTCTTTCCGAATGGTCTCTTTCCTGGCCATGAAAATAATTTTTGATCATTAGTCCTATACCGCACCTAAACAAATCTGTCTTTAGACAAACTGACAGTTTAACCGACAGACACTGGATCTGGGTCATCATTGAACTGAAAGTTTTTCTACTAGAAAAGTTCTGTTTAGACGTACTGGTTTTTTGTGGGGGGGTTTTAATCCTTAAAGTGTCAGTCCTTGACAAAACACACATAAAGGATAACTTGGTAATCCGGCATTAAATTGCATTCACCGTACCGGTATTCTATAGACTAATTTTGGGTCGCTGATCTCGAAAATCCTATTCTTTTTTTATTTGACCAAATATATTACTGTTCGATATATATCGAGAGGATCGCTCGTTTCCACGCTCAGTTTTACCCTGAAGTTGATATGATGTCGGCCGTTTTTTCGATATCCTACAGTTTTTAGTAAGAGTTTTACGGCACTTGTAACACAATAAGGTCATATAAGTGCCGAAGATTAGAGGAGTTACAAGCGAGTAAAAGACACAAAAAGCAGGAGAGAGATCAGGACGATAGATCTAGATGTTTGATAGGAAAGAAGGAGCAAACCACACCAAAGCACCCGCCAACCACTCACATCCTACAGTTTGTCGATCAATAAACTGTACGTGTAAATGGCGCTTTATGGAGTTGTGAACCATGGAATAATACGAACCCTACCGCAGTACTTAGACACAACATTTAATAAATTTAGTCGTGAAAAGTTGTGACCGGCCACAAACCGAGTCTGACCAGAGAGACTGGTATGAGCCAGTAAAAGAATATACATGTAGCAGTCTACCGTACTAAGATAAAACTGCTCTGAAATTTGACGACACGCCGAATTCCATACACCTACACATGTATACATCTGGTCGTGTTTTGATGAGTTCCTTTCACCAACACAGAAGGCTATGCATCTGATTGTTTTTACGCCAAACTACATGCTGTGCATCATCAAACTAATCATGGATGTTGATGTCAATTGGACTGAGAAATTAATAAGTGCAGTTGAAGGCAAACCTTTGCGGTACAGTGAATAATAATGATAATAATAATAATAATAATAATAATAATAATAATAATAATAAAATAATAATAATAATTATAATTATAATAATAATAATAATAATAATAATTATTATTATTATTATTATTATTATTATTATTATTATTATTATTATTATTATTATTATTATTATTATTATTATTATTATTATTATTATTATTATTATTATTATTATTATTATATAGCGCATTTCTATGCTCAAGAGCATGCTCTATGCGCTTTACAACTATTATTACACCAGCAGACCCTTTGAGAACACTCTGAAACATTCTCGACTTCCGCGAAAGCATACAGTGTAGTTGCGGATTTCACACGCTCAAACACTATCAAACTGACAAGATCGTTCACTGTCTATAGCCGGGTACCCATTTCCATTGCGCTAAGTGCCTTTCCCAAGGACACAACGTCGGGCCCCTGACGGGATTCGAACCCACAACCTTACGGTTGCGAGTCCGAGAGCCTAACCACTTGGCCATCGAATCCAAAATCTTGTTTTATGTTGCTTTCGTCTGATCGAAAACTTTAGAGCACATATACATGCTATCTCTGTTAATTCCATGCTCGAAATGAATCGTTAACATTAAAGTCTTAAGACGCTCTAGTTTTAGTGCCTTAGAGCTTTACAGCTCAAGTGGAAGTTAAATTCTGCGACAAAACTGACTAAACGGTCTAAACACAGGCCTTACTGAGTCGAACATTTTAAATAGGTTCCATACAAACAGTTTTCCCTTTGGAACAAGGGCTAGATGAAAACTTTGCACAGATTTGCTGCGCAGAGACGGCCCCTTATCATTAGGTACACAAAACAACAACAACAAAGCAAAACAAAAATAAACTTTAAAAAACTATTTTAAAAAACAAACAAACAGAAAAACAACAACAACAACAACAAACTTCTGACATAAGCAAACACTATGCAGGGAGGATGCACGCGACGAAGTTATTTCAAGGATTGCAAGCACAGCGAACTTGTTCGCTATGATTACAAGTGATCAGGGACACTAACTTCACTCTCTTCAGCACGGTATCAGTGTTGTTATTCTGTGTTTTCATTGTAAATATTACGACACAACCTGCAATGAAAAAAATACCTTGAGCAGTTACATTGGAACGTCGTGCGCTTGTGCGTGTGTGCGTGTGTGTATGTGTGTGTGTGTGTGTGTGTGTGTGTGTTTGTGTGTGCGCACGCGCGTGTTTGCCTGCGCGTGCGCGCACGTGTGTGTGTGTGTGTGTGTGTGTGTGTGTGTGTGTGTGTGTGTGTGTGTGTGTGTTTGTGTGTGAAGGACAGAGAGAGAGAGAGAGAGAGAGAGAGAGAGAGAGAGAGGGCGGGGGGAATTGGGAAGGTGACGTCATAGGTTTTAACCGATCAAGATACATTCTGTTTACTGTGAGATGTCACAATTTTGATATTGTCATCGTTAACCAAACAAGCGCATGCTTGCACTGTATGTATCACGTAAGTGTCGTCACACTCTGGTAATACTTTGCCGTTTGACTTCTTCAGAACTTCAAGAGTTTTTCTTTCGAGTTATCACTCGCTCGGTTCTAATT